CACCGGGCCGCAGGAGAACACGAGAGTGCGCGCGGCTCTGTCGGCGGGCGAAGGGCGCGTCGGGAGGCACAAACGGGCGAAGACCCGAACAGGCTGCCGGCCCGGCTTGCAGTGCGAGGCCGCGCGGGCGGCGGCGGGCTTAGATCTCGGGGGCGGATCCTGGGCGGGGCTCGCGAGGCCGGGGCGGGGCCTGGGGGCCCGGGAGGCCTGCCGGCTCCGACCGGGGGAGGGGACATCCTCGAGCCACCGCCTTTCCGCGGGGGCCGCCCCGCCCAGGGTCCTCTCCGGGTCTTCATCCCATTTCCGTGCAGGCCGACGGCCGTTTTTACTCTCCTCGTGCCCTTAGACGGTCATGCCCTCGCCCCTCCAGCCTCTGCCTCACAATGCCCGGGTCCACCAAGCTCATGGTGAGAACGGCAAGACTGACGCTCAGAGGGAAGCCGAGGTCACAAGGATTCAGCGTGCCAGCCAGGGCGTTTTCAAACAGCACCCAAGAGGTAGATTCGGGCATTAGGGCACATCCTCCGCTACGCGCCCGGCTTCCGACACCCGCAGTCCGCAAACGTCAGCCGGGCTGCCAGGGCTCGAGGGCGGACTTCTGAGAGGGGGGCGGGGCTCCCGACCGGCCTCGCTGGCGGTTGGCTGAGGCCGCCGCGTTGCCAGGGGAAAGAACCAATCCGACTGCGGGGGCGGTGGCCCCGCCACCCACCGCGACCGTTGGGCGCGGCTGGCGGGAATTCCCGCCTTCTCCAGCCGCGGACCCGCCTCGCCCTTGGGGACCCCGGAGACTCCGGCCCTGGCCGGGCGGGGACGTCAAACGTGGCTTCCCGGCCCAGACAGACCGGCAAACGGGCCGACGTCGTGCATGTGAGAAGGCTGAACGGGGTCCAGGCCAGCTGCGTGCCCAGCCCTGGGCTGAGAAAGGGGGTCGGGAGGTGGACCCGGCCTGGCTCGTCTCTTGACTGATGACCTTGGGGAGGGCTGGGTGGCGACAGACGAGGAAACCGCCCATCTCTGGGCCTATGGCCGGACCGACACAAGCACTTGGGGAGCAGGAGAAGGCTCCGTTTTACAATGACGTTAAATCGGCCCGAGGGTCGCACAGCGGCGAGCCCCGGCTTAAGCCCTGGTCAGTCTGGCGCCAGGGGTGTGTTTCCAAGCAGAAGGGACTGTCCGGGAACAGCCGAGGGGACCGTCGCTGGAATGGGGCTGGGGTGATGAGAGCAGGAAGGGAAGCCCGCCGAGCGCGTGGTTCCGGCGGAAGCGGGGTGGAGACCGGAAGTCGAGGCCGAAGGTGGTTTCTGGCGCCTGAAGTCTCTGGTCCAGCCGATTCCTAGGATGCTCAGCAGATTCGTGGTGAGATTGCGACGGACGGACAGATCCAAAGGCCTACAGATGCAAGCTGGCAAAACAGGGAGGAATCCGGATTCCAGGGGCTGCATTCCCCGTGTTTATCCTTGACAAGATCAGGAGGACGCGTGGACACTTAGAAAGGGAAGCAGAGATCACCAGGACCCTGCGTGAATTCCTTAAAAGGAAATCATGTCAGGCCGGGAGCGGTGGCTCAAGCATGTAGTCCCAGCACTTTGCTTGAGACCAGGGGTTGGAGACCAGCTTGGGCAGCTTGGCGAGACCTCGTCTCTTAAAAAAAACAAATAGCCGCGCTCGGTGGCTCAGCCTGTAATCCCGCGCCTTTGGGAGGCTGAGGTGAGTGGATTGCCTGAACGCGCGGGTTTGGAGACCCGCCTGGGCAGCGAGACCTCATCTCTACATTAAATCAAAAAATCAGCCGGGTGTGGGAGCGCGTGCCTGTGATTCCAGCTCCTCGGAAGGCTGAGGCAGAAGGATCGCCGGAGCCCAGCAGGTCGAGGCTGCGGTGGCCGGGAGCGGGCACTGCACTCCAGTCTGGGCGACCGAGTGAGGCTCCAACTCAAAAAAAAAAACCAAAAAAAAACCCAAAACAAATAAAAGGCCAGACACAGTGGCTCACGTCTGTAATCCCAGCACTTTGGAGGCAGTGGTGAGAGGAGAGGATTGCCTGAGCTCAGGGGTTCGAGATCAGCCTGGGCAACTTGGCAAGACCTTGTTTCCACAATGAATCAAAAAATTAGCCGGGATGGTGGCACATGCCTGTGGTTCTAGCTTCTTGGAGAGCTGAGGTGGAAGGATTGCCTCAGGTCGAGGCTGTGGTGGCCGTTAGTGTGTCATTGCCTTCCAACCTAGGCAACAGAAAGGGACTCTGACTCAAAAAAAACGAAAAAAAAAATTTAGAGGAAACCAGGCTGATCAGAGCAATGCTATAGACATACAGACTCTGTATCTCTGGACTTTTAGCAGGCAGCATTCCCGAGTCATAAGGTGTGGACAAATTAGAGAATGTATCAGTATAAATAAGTACATTTTGAAAACTTTCCACACCAATTTCACTTAAAAATTTATATAAACCGGGCTCGGTGGCTCAGCCTGTAATCCCGCGCCTTTGGGAGGCTGAGGTGAGTGGATTGCCTGAGCCCGCGGGTTCGAGACCTGCCTGGGCAGCGAGACCTCATCTCCACAATAAATCAAAAAATCAGGTGGGCGTGGTAGCACGCGCCTGTAATTCCGGCTACTTGGAAGGCTTAGGCAGAAGGATCGCCGGAGCCCAGCAGGTCGAGGCTGTGGTGGCTGGGAGTGGCTACTGCACTCCAGTCTGGGTGACCAAGTGAGACTCCAACTCAAAAACAAAAAAAAAAAAAAAAAAATTATATAAACACACATAGCAGTTTATTAGTAAACATGTTATATGTACCAATAATCAAGTTGACAGTTTCATTTTGTTTTATAATTTTGACATACCAGGAGACAATCCACTATGCTTACAGTTTTGGAACTTTAAAATCTTTAAATAAAGAAAAAAATCATTAAATACAAATTGTGAGTGAAGGACTGAAAATGAAAAAAAGACACAAGAATGAATGAGAAAACTGAAAACATCAGGTATAAAAACAGAAAAAGTTAAACATTTTGTCTCTGGTTATTTATGCTAAAAATATTGAATAGATTGGCTATATTCTTCTCACCAAACATAAAATTATCTGATTGCATTTTTAAAAAGAAATCAAGGAAATTTGATGATCATACATTTTAAAAAAAAATTATATAAAACTGAATTTTAAGAAAAACCCATTTGAGAAGTGCTGCAATTGTTAACTTCCATGTCCCTTTTGATGTTTGTACTTCCTCTTGGTTTCTTAAAAAAAAAAAAAAAAGTGGGGGTGGGGAAATGTCGACACAAAACCAGATGGAATTACTTTAAACATTTACAGCAGATTTTTTTTTTTTTTTGAGTCTTAGTCTTAGTTGCCTAGGTTGGAGTGCAATGGAAGGCTCACGGCCACCAAAGCCGTGACCTGCTGGGCACAGGTGATTCTTCTATCTCAGCCTTCTAAATAGCTGGAACCACAGGCATGGTTTTTAAAATTTTTTTTATTTATTGCACCTTATCCAAGTTCCCCAGACTGGTCTTGAGCACCTGAGCCCAGGAATCTTCTTGCCTCTGCCTCCCAAAGTGCTGGGATTATAGGCATGAGCCACCGCACCCAGCTACAACAGATTTAGATTACAATTTTTTAAATGAATCTTCTCTGGTAAGAAATACTATATTTTATTTAATTTATTTTTTGAGTTAGAGTCTCACTCTGTCGCCCTGACTGGTGTGCAGTGGCATGCTCACGGCTACCCCAGGGTTGACCTTCTGGGCTCAGGCGATCCTTCTGCCTCAGCCTTCCAAGTAGCTGGAACTACAGGGGCGCGCCACCACGCCTGGCTAATTTTTTGATTTATTGTGGAGATGAGGTCTCGCCAAGTTGCCCAGGCTGTTCTCGAACCCATGGGCTCAGGCAACCCCCTCCTAAAGTGCTGGGATTACAGGCTTGAGCCACTGTGCCTGGCCAGAAGTCCTGTAATTTAATATTGAATTGGAAAAACAGAGTTAAAAGTTGCATCTTTACATGAATTGTGTGAATGAAATAAAACCAAATTCGTAAAGCAAAGTGTGAACATAGCATTAGTTCATATTTTGCTCACAGTTGTAAAACTGTAGATTCTCCCCCAACTACTTAGAGCATGACAGGTCTTCAGCTGGAGTTCAGAACTTAATCTTTCCATTTTTACATGAGAAACTAGAAAACAAACCAGGCACAGTGGCTCTCACGTGCACTCACGTGCACTCCCAGTGACTTGGAAAGTGGAGGCAAGAGGTTTACTTGAGCTGAGGAGTTCAAGGCCAGCCTGGGCAACACAGCGAGACCTCCATCTCTAAAAGAAAAAAAATATGCTGGGAGTGGTTACTTACACCTGTAATCCCAGCATTTTGGGAGGCAGAGGTGAGAGGATTGCCTGAGCTCAGGTGCTCCAGACCAGTCTGGGCAACTTGGAGAGAACTTGTCTCTACAATAAATCAAGAAATTAGTTGGGTTTGGTGGGGAATGCCTGTGTTTCATCTACTTGGAAGACTGAGGTGGAAGGACAACCTGAGCACAGCAGGTTGAGGCTGCATTGGCCGTGAGCGTGCCACTGCACTCCAGCCTGGGCAACAGAGTGAGACTCTGACTCAAAAAAAAAAAAAAAAAAAGGAAACATATGTGAAAAGAAAAATCCAAAGTGAGTGGCAGAATCTACAAATAAAAACTCTTAAAAATACATTTGCCAACTGGGCGTGGTGGTTTAGCCTATAATCCCAGCACTTTGGGAGGCCGAGGCGAGAGGACTGCCTGAGTCCATGGGTTTGGACCAACCTGGGCAACTTGATGAGACCTCATCTCTACAATAAATCACAAAAACTAGCTGGATGTGGTGGTGTGCGTCTGTAGTTCCAATTACTTGGAAGACTGAGGCACAAGGATCGCCTAAACCCAGAAGTTCAAGGCTGTGGTGGCCGTGAGCATGCCATTGCACTCTAGCCTGGGCAACTCCAACTCAAAAAAAAAAAAATTGCCAGGGAAAAGGAAATAACCCAAATGTCTATCAACTGTGGAATGGATAGATAAAATGTAGCTTGTCCAAACAATGGAATATTATTCAGCAATGAAAAATAATGAAGTA